GGCAAAGAAGTTTTGTATCAGAATTCAAAATATTTATTTAAGCAAACTGGTCATGAAACTGACTTTTATAGACTTCAGGTGGAATGAGTCAAAACAACTGGAAATGCAACTTTTTTACTGCCAGGTCAAAATAATAATTCTGGATTTCCAATACTAATTTCTCTGCTAAGCATTTCCAACACACAAAGCCCCAGAAGAACAAAAGGAACCTCATTAAGCCTTTCACTTGAACAACCTGAGTACACCTGAAAAGATTTGCTGCTTGCACGTATTACTTGCAGTCCTGTGGTCTGCTGCATAATCACATGAGAGCTTTACAATCATTTTGGGTGTTTGTAGATCACTTTAAGTAACAAGTGGCTGTAGCCCTCTAGACAGCTAATCAATGGTTTCAGCAATTCTAAGACTACAGTATTAAACGGATTCCATTGTCTTACACAGAACACCAAGCACTTTGTACACAGGTGCCTGAAAGTAATAGATGGCAGAGATCCTTTCTTTGGTATGCATGCCTGAACTGTATTCAATTCAGGGCACTTCTCGAAATGCCAGTATTTTCTTATATAATTGCCATTCTATATTTATTATTGGTCAGGGGATGTAATCTGAATCTTGTCGAATTATACTGTTCTGATATCTTCTTCCCTACTCTAAATAATTAAGACTTGAGACTTGCAAGACTTGGAGGGGGAGGGAGTGAGAAAAGAGATGTGTGTTTCAGGGAAGCAGGAAGGACAGGAAAAGGAGGAGTAAGGTACAAGAGTAAAATGGAAATAAAATGTGGAGGTAAGCATCCATTTACAGATAATAAATTTAATAAAGACATGGCTTACACAGTTGTTCCTAGGAGCACCCTTCAGCATAAAGATGTTATTTACTAAAAAACTGTCAACAGAAGAGCTATCTTTTATCACATATTTTGCTGTTATTAAACCAATGCTCTTAATCACTTTCTCTACATAAATGACATTTTTCACTAGTGCTAAAATGCCAGCAGGAGAAACTTGGGATTCAAATGAGCTTTGGTTTTGACAGTTTGCTTTTGGAGGGAGGGGTATTGATTTCTTCAAAGAAAATACTGCCCAGGAGTCTAAATTGGATGGGTTGTTAGACCTGCATTTCATAGTTCTTTCCATAGCCCA